AAGAAAGCAGGAAAAAAGAAAGAAGTTTATTAAAAAAAACATTAACTTCTTTTTCTAGGAGGGTTCTGATTAAGTAATAATTAATTTTCATTAAACAAAAGGTTCTGGTTTTCTTGAAAATTTTCAGTCTTCACCTCAGAAAACCCAAGACTAGAGAGATGCTTGGATCCTCTGCACAAAATCAATTCTCATCTTCACCCTTGTGTGTACACAGAAAGCATGGAGCACAGAGACATCTGACACCCATTGCTCTAGGCTGATCAATAAATAAAACATTGTCCCTATGGTTATTTTTAAAAGTAGTAATTTTAGAAGGGAGGAGGAAAGAGAGGAGTGGAATATGTTATCACCATCACATTTTTTTCTGTGTTCATCAGTTTCTATAAAGGTTTGGCATGCATCAGTAGGCACAGAGGTGCTTATTAAGTGTGATTTTGCATATGGCTATTATTACCATATCCAGATACCTACACAGTCTTCCAGTTACGGAGTATCCATTCTTCCACTGCCATGTATGTGAACCGTAACTTCAACAAAGGCTTCACTTTGCACTCTGTAGTTTTGAAAGCTGTAGTTTAAAAATATGGGGCAAGAATAATATTCTACAGCAATAGAAGAGTGAGTAGTAAACACGCAAACTTTTGATCCTTTCCTATTAGAAACCAGGTTATAAAGAAGCTCTATGGCACGAAAGTCTAGCTATTCCTGAGGAAATGGAAAAAGAAAAAAAAAATGCAGCTTGAAGATGTTATCTGCTCTCTGTTGAGATACACAACCTACTCAAGCAGGAAATACACACAGATAGAGGTGGACAATCAGCCCAAGATATAATGATGACAAGCTGCTGACATTTCAGATTTTCTCTTTGAAGAGCAGGTGCTGGCTGAGTACACACAATGCTAGTAAGCAGGAAACAGCTTTTCAGAGGTCATTGCCTTGAATCACAGAACTAAGACAGCACTGCAAGAGACAGACTGTGAGCTGGTAGATAACTTGGTGCCAACCGTAAGTGACAAAGAAGAGAAAAAAAAAACACCAAAAAACCAAACATCTTTTGAGAAAGACACACAGAGCATTTTAGATGAGGGGAGAGGAGGCATTCATGATCACTGTAGCAAAAAGATTGCAACAGACCTTCCATGGAGAAGGACCACTTGGCCAGCACACAATCCAGAAGGAAAACTGTATCACCACACAAAGTTTCTGGCATGACAACAGATTAGAAGGGCCTCTTGGGTCACCTATGACTCTGCTATCACTTGTACCCACAATATATTATTCGTTTCCTAAGTGGCCAACTGCTCCATTTACAAAAGAAGGTAATTTTTTGTGTCTGCTCTATACCGCTTTTTTATTAAAGTAAGGAAATGAGATTGACTATTCTCATGTTTTCAGAGATCTCCAATACCAGTGGGAGCTGTCTTTACAGCCACAATAATAAAAGTCCTCTTCACAGGTCTCGACCAGCCCCTTTCTCAGAGCTGTATGGGGTGGGGGCAGAGGAGAGTGAAAACATCACTTCAAGCAAAAACTAAGAGGCTGCTACCTAGACTAAACACTGTACTGCTCCATGCAGCTTTCTGCTGGTCCTGCTTTCCTAGAGGTTACGCAGTGTTGGCAGGAATACAAGCTCAAGCCTGTGAAGAAAAAACATTGTCATCCAGGGGCATGTTTGAAGGACAACTTGCAGCTTGCCCACCTCAGATTCAGAGGACAGAACCTTGATGGGCTTCGCATAAGCAGAAGAGGAGAGTTGACCCACTTGCTTGCGCTGCCACTGTGATGGTGCCGTGGGTGGGCAGGAAGGTAGGAGTGGTGGAGGAGCAGCGGGTGGCCTTTGCTGTGCTGGCTACAGAGCACCACGCGGGAAGCTCACGCCGGAGTCCCAGGAGCTTGCACCTATGCACCTTCAAGAGCCTTTGACTCTCACACTCAGTCTGACGGGATTCCTCCTCCTCCTCTTTTGTTTCTTCTTTTCCCTTTGATACACCTTCTTTTCACTTTCACTGGCCACACAACAGTGTTAGAGATGTGTGCCATTGCCCCTGTGCCCACAGACACACACAGACATACCTTTTTTTCATCTCTTTTGATCTCACTGTGTGTATCTGCCTCTCCCCGTCTCCAACATTGAATCAGTATCAGTAAACATCTCATGATCAGACCACAAAATACCGAGGAATACAAATCAGCCTTTGATCTCACCGCTTTCTTCCAGAGCTAGAACACTCTTCACTTTTTTGAGCAAAAGCGTCTGAATTTGCATATACGTATACGACCACAACCATACGCAGAGGCCTCAAGCTTCTCTTGAAGGCAGCCAACATCTGAACGTGGCATGAGGAACTGCCGCTGTGAAGGGCATGTACCACACAACGGGTCAATATCTGTTTCAGTATCTGTTAGTGTGCTTAATCATCTCTCTTTCAGAGAATTATCCATCCCCAGCCTCTACTCTGTTTTTCTGTCCTCCTCCCACACCATTCAGAAGACCCAAGCCAGCAGTCCAAGAACTACTCTTGCTCCCTTTACACCTTGAGCAAAGCCTAGTTACAAAGCAAGATAGCTACATGCAGATTTATCACCCCAGATAACGGAGAGGGATAGTCCTCTTTCTGAATGAAATCTGCTTCTCACTGAAATCCACCCTGATGAAGAAATCTTCACACAAGAGTGAAGAAAAATAAAAACCCTGAAAGGTGAGCCTCATTTTAGTTAAACAGTCCAAATCAAGGATCAATTAAAGCCTGTTTTCTACATTTCAGGGCAGAGAAAACCAGCAGCATTTGTCTGAGATACAGACAAAAGCCGGCAATCTTGGTTTTGTTGACACTCAAAATGATCAACAAAGGACTGACAGCACATCTAACATCGACTTTTCTCTCCATAACAATCCTTCTTTTGGAAGCAAGAATGTTAACATCTGAAAACTGAGATTTACACTTCAGAAAAACAGGTATCTGACACAACAGGAGAAAGCAAGCACACAAGATTCCCATTGCTCAGATTAAAATCATAAAATCTGAATTATTCTGCCAGCTCCTTAAAAAGAAAAAAAACCCAAACAACAAAACACTGCAAACTGTGCAAGGTAAAATAACCAGCAATGTTTCCTCTCAAAGTGCAGAATAGCACCTTCCAGTCCTTTTGACCTGAGCTGAGGTTTGCATGTCCTAGTATTTCTGACTAACCAGGAACGAGACAATCAGAGCAGTTAGGCTTTATCTACTACAGTCAGAGATAACTAATTACTCTGAAAAAGCACCACATCAGTACATATCAGCAGCACGGGTTTTCATCTGCTCTCAGATACTGCACAGAATTACCACATCCCACTTCAAGGTGTTAGAATTGGCCCAGACATTGTGAGAGGGAAAGAAGCTGTTTTAGAAGGAAGGGTGAAAAATTACTCAAACAGCAGGAGAAAGAGGATTATCTTGAATGGCCCACTGCTGCTTATTCAGTGATCCTGGTTTTCGGCATCATCCTTGTTTCATTTTATAAAGATTCCAATGATGATAAAAGGAGAAGTAGGTTGATCATTATCATGCACGTGATAAAAAAAAAAACAACCAAACTATACTAGCAGATATCCCTGATCTTCAGGGAATTAGTGACTATGGTTGTTTTCTGACCCACAAAACAAAATAAAAACACAATCGTGAAATAAAAACGCATATTTCTGTGTCACTCTCACCCACAGTATATCACAAAATCCTTGCCATTGAGAATTATTCATTTTGTCAGGATTTATTTCTTCTAAGACACATTTCTTCTATTAAGCATGGAGTAAGGAAACGCGGGGAGTTAAGGCCTCAGAATTAAACAATTTAGTCTTGGAATGTTGTTTTCTAGGTAAGACATGCCACTCAGTCTGGCTAGAGTTGCAGTGATTTGGAAGAAAGATGTGCAGAAGTTGTGAACTGGTTAGAAGTTATGAGGTGTTGCACTCCCCAGTGATGAGCAGGAGAAAAATTAAAGTTATCAGGAGCCCAAGAATTTAATAAAAAAAATAACCAAACATCTTTGTTTCTGGTGACATTTCTCTGAAAACAGAGAACAATCTAGACATTGGGCTCTTCTCTCCCTAAGTAAAATTCACTTCAGACCATTCCCTCACCCTCCCATCAGACTCGTGCAACGCTGAAAATTTCTGAGCTTTTTTTTATTATTATTTCGTTTAAACAATAGGTTTGGGGCAAAATGGGAAAAGAGCAGCACCTTTTAAAAAAACCCTGTTGTGTGCTATATAGGATTAATAGGCGAGTTTTAAAAAAGGTTAAGTTTATATATGTACATGTACACACATACACTAAAACAAATTAAAACCAAAAAACTTTTGCAGGGTCATTTTCCACATGAGAGAGAGGAAAGCCTTATTTCACAGCAAGCACAAGCACCACCAGTTAAGATTAGAGTGCACAACCACATGTAGTTCAGATACCAAACTAGGCTGGGTCCTGGAAGCAGTGCAGCTACAGCAGCACAAAGCTCCACATGGGCCAACTTTTCCCACTCCTTGGCAAAAGCCAGGGCAGAGTCTGCGTTCAGCATAGTGCACTGTGCAGGCACTCCCACAGCCAGCTGCTCTGCCTGCATCAGTTTTGACAGAAGCCACAAAAAGTAGAAAACTGGTGAGAATAAGAGAACCAAAGTGAAGTTACAGGACTGATTTAGCTACAAGATTTCCATAACAGAGGTTTCTGAGTTCCCCCATGTCTCCCGGGTGCTCTCTGCTTGGGTTGCGCAGCAGACAGCTCCTGTGTAGTTACTATTTGTGCACTGAGGTTCCCATTTTTGTTTACCTGCATCTTTTCTTTTCCTATCTCTCTTCTGCCCCACCACACCATTCCTATTTCCTCCAGGCTGACGGGGTAATAAAATCAGGAAGCAGCAAGTACACCTAACCAAGGGGATATTCAACAACCCAACGAAGCTTAAAAAAATATTATTAATTATTAAAAAAAACCTCCAACAATTTAAAAAACCTGTTCAAGTTCTGCAGGCTTCTGGCAGAGTTTGGCCATTTAGCCCAGAGGTCTCTGTCTTCACGGCCTGCAGGCTAAATTGTCTCAACTGGCCAGAAGCAGGCAGTACAAGGTAAAATTCCGACTAAAAGAAAAAAAGTAGTAAGGGTTGTGGGGAGGAGAGGCTGCGACACGGAAACCCAACGCTTCAGTTGCAGTACTCATGCTACACGGTACGCTTTCAAGAGCGTGAATTCCTTTCTGTTGGTGCGCGCCGCCCAGATGAAAAGAGCAGCTGCCATGAACTGCAAAGGTGCCGAGACACAGGCCAGGCAGAAGGACCAGCCGAACTCGCCCCTCACATCGTCCGGCAGGGGCAGCTTCTTATGGAGCAGCTCGATCCCGGCTACATAGCAGCCCACCAGGCCCAGCGTGCACAGCCCTGGGGAAGGAGGCAACAAAGCACCATGAGCTCACGGTTGAAGTGCTCTGGCTGTGGCTACCAACTTCTGGAGGAGGGAGGGCTGGTGGTGGATGGCAGGAGACCTACCTGCTAGGAAGTGGAGGACTCCAGTGGCAATGGCCGGGTAAAGGCTGCGACAGGCACAAGCACAGAGCCCAATCAGAGCCCCAAAGCACATGAGGCCAAGGCTGACAAAGGGCAGGAGAAACTGCAATCGCCAGAGATCTGCACATGAAAACCACACAAGACACAGTTGTTGAAGATGTGCTACAAACTGATCTTCTCCCACCGTTTTATATTCCCCTCTAACCACAATGCCTCTGCTTCATCAGACATTCTACATTCATAGCTAAAAAGGACCAAAGGCTCCACTGAACTCAGAAGGACTCCATTTGTTAACTCCCAAATTCCTGTACTGCATTCACAGGCAAAACCTTTGCTAACACATCAAAGTTTTCCTTTTAAACTTTGACCTACTGTCTGTGCTACTGTAAAAAAAAAACAAACAAAAAACAAAAACTCACAACAATAAATGCAGAGCAAGATACAGACACTTTCCTCACTAGTGACTGCATTTGAGAAACATTTTTTTTTTAATCTCACTTGTTTACCTGCCAGAAGTGAAAGACACTTACAAGTTCGATTCAAATCTGTGCCACTATTGTGATTTCCAGGCTCTACGTACTTTTCCATAAACTGATCAGAGAGTGAAAAACTAATGCAGCTTGTAGTCATATCAGGTTCTGGGGGAAAAAAGAAAAAAAAAAAACAACATTAGATGTCTCCCTCCCACCTCCTCACCCTTCAATTCCTCCTTTCTCAACCATTTAAGCTGGGAATCTCCTCAGAGTTCCATTTTAGAGAAAAAATTACCTCTCAAAACAGATTTGTAGGATGCCTTATCACAATGTAGTTAGCATAACACAGTTACTACAACGAGGGTCAGCATTCAAACATGCTTACATGGGTTATCTGCAGAGAACTGTGCCACACTTGACAGATTAGGAAAGAAATGTGGCATACGATGCTCAACTATGTTGTTACATATTCTTGTACTCAGAGTCCCTTAACTAAGCTGTGCTTATCTCCATGTGCAGAATGCAGTACCATACTAAAGACTTCGTTCAAAAATGAGACAGAAAGGACTATTTAAAGAACAGAAAATATTTGCTTCTTTACAGTAAATTTCTCCTCTTTTACACCTCAGTTAGATTTTGCTTTCAGAATACTATTGAACAGATCTGGTTTAAGTATCTTCCAAAACAAGTATTTTCATTAGGAAGGAAGCATTTCATGTAATATTTTTTTCCCCAGAAAAAGTGATTGAAAGCACATTTTTTTAAAGAGGGTTTAAAACGAAGGGCTTCACACATACATCGTGTGTCAAAATCTACTTTGAAGCAACTAAAATAATTGCTCGCTACACTTTTTTAGCCCCCAATTATTGTGAAAAAGAATACAAGTATTTCATTCTATATCTAGCACTACAGTACAAGGAGTCCATGATGTGCTGATACAACAGTGGGACGTTTGTGACATGTGAGCAAAATGAATGACTAGCTAAAAGGAGTAAGTGCCCCTTGATAAAGTAGCATCTTTATTCCATTGCTGGATCCCAGAACCTCTCCTAAAAAGACAGTGACTGGCAGAACAACCGTAACTATCTCCAGTTGAACAGCAGACACAAAAATCAAGTAATACCAGACTAAATTTAGATCAAGTATCATGTGTCAAATCCAGAGTCTGTAGCACTGATAGTCACAGATAATTTTGCCTTTCGCTTCTTTAAAAATTTAGGCTGTCTCTATTTAAAAAAAAAACACACAAGCTAGAAATAAGCCTTCTGGAGGGACAAAGTGGCATGAATATGTTGCGAGGAAGTTAGCACATACCACCCCAGGCAAGCTAGGGAAATGTTAATTGCTCTGGAGATACCTGGTGGGCTGTACCAGTGCGAGTTTTTGGGTACAGTGATACACCTCCGCCACAATCCAACTGTGCCATTGCACTTTTTGTAGGTCTTCTCATCTGCCTCTTCGCTGACAAATTCGTCCCAGATGCTCCTACCAGCTTCACTAACGTTCTCAGCTGGGGACAGGGTGTGGTATTCGTACCAGAAGTCGGTGCCAATGGAAGCTGCCATATAGATGGTGGAGATGAGGCTGAGAACGCAGGCAATTACTAGCGCTGTAGCGAAACGGTTATCCATCATCGTGCCCTTGCTGCTGCAAGGAAAGAGAGGGCCAAGTGAGCAACTCCTCTGACAGTAAACGCAAAGTTATCCCAGCACTATCGAACTCGTGACATCATTCCCCTTATGCAATGCCCCCTCAGGATATGCACGTCATCCTTTTCCAACATGCTGGAATTCAAGGAACACGGAATGAGTCTATCAGTCTACCGTACTAGGAAGCATCCACTGGATCTGCGATTTCAAGGCATGGATATCGCTCTTCTCCCAGCCGTGCTGCACTAGCTGCTTTCTCTCCAAGACAAAAACCGACAGAGGAACAGTAACTCTGTCCCCAGAGCACATGGCACAGCTCACTGCCATTTGTGATCCTGATTGGAGGGAACTGCAGAGAATCCATTCACAGCACCCAGGCAGAAGACTTATCTTTCCTTAAGAGATTACCAAGGGTTGAATGTATTTTTAGCCTGCCATCCCATACAAGACAAACATGGCTTTCACAGCTTGTGTTTACAGCAGAGATAAGAATCACAAGCATGCCAAAAAAGCTCTTCCAGACTGTTCACAAAGGGCAGCCATGCCAAGGTGCTGGAATGCCTTTAAGGAAGCAGAGAGATTTATCTAGGCTCTAGAGACAGAAAACGAAGGAAGCACTGAAAGACAAATTTGGAAGCTATGATAAATGTTGCAATAATGTCACAATACATACAGTGGTGTTTCTGAAGAACTAAAATGTGTGTGTGTCTGTGTCTGTGTGTGTGTCTGTGTGTGTGTGTCCGGAACAGGATGACAAGAGGTTCCAAAATCAAAAGGCCTTCATGCGCTGACATGAGGACCTTGTTCTGGCTCCCTGTGGTCACTTATGCCCTCCTTTGCAGGCTCATGCTCACAAATGGCATAAATCCAGGGTAAAAGGAGGCATGGGAAAACACAGATATCCCACAGGCTTATGCTTATGACAATACTGTGACTTTAATGAGTAATTGATTGCTAACACATGGAATGTTTTGCGGATAGTGCAATATGTCAGAGGGCTCTCAGATGCCTGTTGTGCTCACCCCTTTTCTGTGCTTGATTAAATTTATGGATTATGATGAATCAGGCTTGATGGACTTGCCAAAGAAAAAAAAAATTTAATTGAAGTTAACTTGGCAGCTAGAGCTAGTCTGGTAACACGAGCTACTATCTAATCAGCTCTTGTCTATTGCTTGTTCTACCTCCCTTCTCCCACATACTTTGATCAAAATATTTTGGTTTAGTTTCTTTGCTACTGAATGAACCACAACTAGAAACAGTAAGTGCCTTAAAACAAACATTCACAAGGAAAAACACCAGTGCCCAAGTCAGACCTGCAAGTAAGAAATTCTGAACTATGAAACGAGGTGCAAATTAAAGCCGAGAGCTTCAAACACACCGATACTGTCTGCTAACAATGCCATTCTTCTTTCTTTTCTCTCCCATCTGCTCCACTATTTGGTTAAAACTGGAAAACGGGGTTGGGAAGGAGAAATGATGTGTACCCATATCATTCCCTATGCTTAATTTCCATATTCAAGGAGGGATATTACAGGGAGTATGCCTCATTTAACTGCATCCTTAGCAATGAGCAAGAATAAAACCGATTTTTGGTGAACTGACAAGCAGCACCTATTTTAAATACTGCAAAGTTTGCATACCACAACTGTACTTAAATATTAATCCACAAGCTGTGAACTTTTATAAGCTAGGACAAATATTGAGAGGAAGAAAACATCATATCTGGGCTTATTTATCTAGAAGACATAGAATCAAGACCAGACTTGAAAGCAAACTCCCAGTGCAGTGTTTAATTCTTAGTTATGTACTTCCATTCTCCTTCGATATCCTAGCATCTCCCTCAAGGTACACAGGACACTGATGAGCAGAACAGGGAGAGAGCAAGTTGCTGAATAGGGCTGACCTCACTATTCATCCCCAGTGAGTTCACTGAGGGATCCCCTCCCCTTCACAAACTTCTCAAAAAGCAAACAGGGCAAGTGACATCTCCAGGGCCAAAGCTGCGCTGCCCAGCTGAGCTCAGAGCTGCACAGATCCTCTGGGAACTCACTCTCACGGCAAGCAGAACAGGCTGGTCTGGATTTTCCACTATATTGCAGTCTCATTCACTGTAAGAGGAACCCTCTGCAACAGACTCCTCTCTTCAGAAAGGGCTCTTTCTGGAAGGAGGAATCAAAAGAACCTAGAACCTCCATCCTCAGAGTAGTGTCTGGCGAAAAAGAACGTAAGCAGGACATTATTGGGCCATTGGTTTGCTGCCATTGGCTATTAATATAAATGCTTACAATAACAAAGTCCTATCAACTTTGTGCCCAACATACAGGAAGAAAGCAACTGGCTCAAAAAAAAAAAAACCTTACTTTCAGATACAACATCCCTGCTGCCAAGCGCAGAACACTGGTGCCGCATCATTAAAACACAACCACGCGCTTCTGGCCAGCGTTCTGCGCATCGGCATAGAGTGGACTTGGCAGAGTTGATGTTGGCTGGCAACCAAGAGCAGCTCACAAGCAAAATGAAGGCTTAAAAATCAAATAGTAAATTAAAGCACTGTCTAGTGTTCACTTGGTAAAAGGGATGCTTCAATGCTTGTCATGCAGAGCTCCAGGGGTAGGTAGAAAGCAGCTGAGGTGGCTACAGTCCACAAAATCTAGCAGGTGGCATTTGCCCCAGAAAGAACACGCATGGATTTTCAATATGGACAAGACAGTGCCAGGGCAAGAGCAGATCCCCAGTTCCTTACAATAAACGTCCCCTCAATGCTTCTGCCTAACACTTCAACTACTTACAGAAGAGATTAAGAACTTCAGGCAAATTTTGAACTAGAAGTTCTTCCTGCCACAGTGCAGCAGACTTGACTACCCTGCCCATTCACTGAGTATATCCAATGCATCTTCATTTACGGTAGGCACACTCCGACTTAAACAGCTGTCCTCTGCTCTGTTAAAGAGAGAGCCATCCTTCCCGCCCTAGGCAGAGCTCAGAGTGGTTAGCACAGTCAGTAAGAAATAGTTACCAGAGAAGACCATGAAGAAAGACACTGCATGTTTACAAGATTATGCCATGCTTTGCAAAAGGTTCTACACACAACAATACGTACAACGTGCCTTACAATAAGCTTACTTGCCAAAAAAAAACCATTACTACTACCGAAGATGACATTAATTATAAAGACATGAAAACAGATAATAAATGGAAACACTTTGCAAAAGAAGTGAGACATGTAAAAGTTTCAAAGCACCAGCTCATAAAAGAGAAGGCAAACGCCAAACAGCAGCAACATTCAAAGGAAAGACTAGATGCATGCACTTCATGGAAGGGAAAAAACCAGGGCAAGTCAGTAGAGTTGAAAAAGAAAAGACACAGAATAGCAGAAAAGCAAGCATTGTGGCAAAACATCAACTGTAAGACTGGAGAATGGATAAGCATTTTAAGAACTTACTGTACCATTGCAGCTGGGAATACAAAAATATGGGTTTTTTTATCTTGTTACAGCAATCATTCCCTTCAGCCAACAGCAGGCCACTACATTTAAGAAACTCCTTTCACCTGACATCGCAAAAGAATAAGGCTGTGTTTGCTGGTATTTCCTCAGAAATCATGCTCGCAGTGTGACTGCTCCTTGAGAAAGCAGAAGAGGCAGAAAGCCTTAAAGGTGTACAGGTGGGGAGAGGGCTGCCAACACTATTGAATGGGATCCTCCTACTAATACTCATGGACACGGAGGGTTAGGAAAGAAAGCCACCGAACACTTTTTTACCTTCAGAGGTCCTCAGAGTCCCTCAGGACACGCAACTCCGACGATTCCAGGTCACTTCAGAGACAGTGTTGTTTGTGACTTGTGGCAAGCGGAGCGCATGAAACGCAAACTTCCTATGTGCCCTAACTGTTCCATTCATTCAGTTTCTTCAACACCACCAGTTCACAAAAAGTCATCTAGAAGGAGAAAGCAAACCAAATAGTCTGAGATCATCGCTTCACTTCGAAATTATTTCACAAATAATCTCACTGAAAAGAGAAATAATAGTTTTCTTTTCATTAAGAGAAAAATATTAAAAAGAAAAGGGAAAAAAGACTTCGAAAGCCTTCAGACCAACAGCACCATGCCCCACCTCCACCATTCTCGCGGCCAGGCAGCGCCGGCG